GTACCAGACTTAGGAATTTTAACAAAATAAGGAAAGGAAAGTCTAATTCTACCATTCACATTCTCCAGAGAACCATTTATTTGCTCTATTTTCCCTTTTACTCTAACAGGCCCCATTTACTTTCCCAGGAAGCTCTTTACTACTTCCCTCTCTTTATTTGTTTATCTTTCTTTCTCACAGCTCCCCAATACAGATTGTCCATGGGTATGAACAATTTAGTGACTTTATTTTATTGTTGTTGTTGCTTAATTTCACTGGGTTTTCTAGAATGGATAGAGCATTTCACACTTTCACTAATTACTTTAGTCCTATCAACAGTGCCTTTTTCTGTATTTTCTATCAACTGTGTCAATACGTAAAACCTGAGTTAGAAGCTCTAAGTTTTAATTTGCATTTCTATGATTATTAGTGATTTGGATGAAGTATTTTCCATTTAGTTGATATTTTTTCAAAGACAAAAAAAGTTGTTCATACCTTTTGACCCCTTCACTATTAGAAAATAGTTTAAACTCTTACTTATTTATCCAATTAATTCCATATATAGCTGAGATATTAAACTTTTGCTAAAGATATTGGCATAATATTAAGTGCCTCTGAACACATTCATGAAGATACAACATCTTTTAGGCTAATGCTGATGTAATGAGTGTTTAAGCAATATGTCTGAAGTCAAATAAATACAAAACTTTGTCATGACAGGTCTAAGCAAGTACACTTAAAATGAAGTATTTCTGAGTTTATAATTCCATTGAGGACAGGATCTTTAAACTTCTTTAATCCTCTAGTACCTGGTAAGATGTCCTATGTAAGTCCCTAAACATTAAATAAATAATTATTGATTCCTAAATATCAGTGTGGATCTATAATAGTATACATAATATTATGATATAGAAAATCTTTTATCATTTCTCCTATAAATCCAAGAATCTACTCATGGTCCATCCAGGAACTTAAAAAAAAAGAACATATCAATTTTCCTAACACAAGTGTCATTAACGTTTGATCCATGATCATTTAAAATTTTTACACATTTTATAATTGCATTGCTATGTAATTGTTTTCCTTGGTGATCCTGTTTTATGCACTTGAACATTTCCTCAGGAAGAATCCCCAGGTTTCGCCAGACTGTCAAAGGGGTCCATCACACACACACACACACACACACACACACACACACACACACACACATTAATCCTTACTCTGTAACATATTCTTTTCAACATGTCTATTCCTTTTGCAACTATAAAGTGCCCTTATATTATCCTAAAAATATCACAGAATGGGGATAGGTACTGGGCCAGTGATTTTATTCATATGGAAAAATTTTAAATTCTAAACTCCCTTGACTATTGGTATATTGGTAACCATTTTTGCAACATATAGCCCTAGATCATGGAGTAGATGGTTGTGACTTACCAAGGTCACTTACATACTATTTGTCAAAGGTGGAATTTAAATCTCAGCCTTGTTGGCTCTGATACCAGGGCTCTACCTATTATTCCATGTCATATCATAAATAGAGTTGACCTAAATATTTTATGATGTCTCCTAAAAGTTAAATAAGAACTAATAATTTGAAATCTATGAATTTAAATTCAATAACTCATTAAGACGGCAGACAGAAAAAATGCAGCATAGGCTTACAAATAGTACAACCAGTGATATTTAAATAAGAGTTAGCCAAAGAGCAATATCTGAAATTTCCAATTGGAAAAGAATAGAGAAAAGTTCAATTTTAATATAATGAAAGAAAGCACAGTCAATAAAGGACTCTGCAATGCAGTGAAGAAATAATCACTTTAAACAAAAGAATATGACTAGTTCTAGAAAATTTTAGTAGTTGTACTAATGATGACCTTTAAAAATGAAATTCAGATTTAAAGGAAAAGTAGAAGAGTATGGGACTCTAAAACAAAATATATTCATCACACTTAGGTGAAATTAAATGAAACAGATTAGAGACAACACTTTAGTTGTACATCTTAAAAATTTAAGAACTGAAAGTGAAAATGTAAAAACCTAATTGGCTGTCATCAGTCATTACTGTGGGTTAAAATACAGAGTTGAACTTCATTATAAAAACCTATGCTTTGCAAAAGAGTAGGACAGTGAAACACTATGTGAGTCTGAAAAGGAAACCTCTGGGAGATGATCTAATGGTTGTAATTATACAGCATGTAATAGGATAAAAGTTCAACCACATAAATATTGATGGCAATTATCTAAGAATTAAATGCATGCTTCAAAATGTAAGGGCCATAGGAGAATTAAATACTTCAGCATGAATCTTGTTTGGAACAGACAATGGAAGCCCATTCCCCAAAGTCGGGCAATATCACAAATGCATCATTGCTTAAGAATTTTTATTTGGGGGTATGTAAGATTAGGTTACTCTCTCCAGAACTGGAAGACCCTGAAAAATAATCTATAACTACAAAAGAGCATCCACAATCTGAGTGATGTGAATGAGAATCTCTGTACCATTAGACATACTTTGAGATACACTGTAACAAATTTTGAAATAAAAAAGGGAGATGTTTCCTATATATATATGTGTGTGTGTGTGTGTGTGTGTGTGTGTGTGTGTGTGTGTGTGTATAAATTTATCTATGTTTCATGGCCTTATGGAATTGTAGGTGATTTAATTAGTTCTAAATAATAAGAAAATCTCAGCCTAATTTGATCATTAAAAGGGTGACTTTAGATTAATATATTATGGCTATCAAATGTCAGCCAGGGACACAACTCATGATTGTACCTTATTCCCATAATTTAGTTTTCAAAGTTAATACACAAGACAAAGGTAAGTTTATATAACCTTTTCTTTACGTCAATGAAATAGTACTCACCTCCCACCAAGGGAAGGTCAGGAGGCAGCAAGAACCAGGTAAGTCAACAAACAATAAATATTTATTAAGCGCCTATTTTCTGCCTGTCATTGTGCTAAATGCTGAGAATATAAATAAGAACCAGAAAGACAGCCTATAACCTCAAGGAGCTTACAATTTGATAAGGGGAGAAATGAAAAGTTAACTAGAAATTCTGAGCTCTCTATAAAGGGCTGCTTTGAGAGGAGCTTTTTGCTCTACCCTCCAGTCCTGCAATCAGAGGGGAGAGGCAGCAGAGAGTATTGAAGAGATGTTAAGAACCAAAGCTGAAGTAATCCCCAGGATGATGAGAATTTTAGTGATGATCTTATATTAGGGAAAAGCATGGTGGTTAAGGAGTTCAAATCAAATAGAGAAATTGATGGGAAATGAATAGGTAGATAAATCAACACCAAAACCCATGACCACTATTTCCAATTGTATCCTGATCTAATTGTATCTCTTCATTTCCCACAGGGCTGCACTCATTTTGAACTTCATTGACTTCTTCATGCTCTCAATGAATTCATCATTAGGAAACCTCATTATCTTGCAACATTCAGTGAGCCTTGTTACACACCTCATCAGTATCTTCTTCCTCTCTGATTGGAGGGTGGAGCTATAAGTTCCTCCTTTTAAGGAGGGGCACAGGACAAGTGGACTCATTTTATAATTTTTTGACTTTTCCACCATGCTGAATCACTGGGTACCTCCTCACTTCTCCCCAACTTTCAAGCTCTCTTGTGTATGTTGTCTTTCTTCATTAGATTGTAAGTTCCTGGGGAATTGCCTTTCTTCTTTGTACTCCTAGTGCTTAGCACAGTGCCTAGCAAATAGAAGGCTCTTGATAAATATTTACTGACTATTAATAGGCCCAACCCTGACCCTAGAGCCTTGGGAATAGCAGTGTCCCATAAACCATCAGTACCGCTTCCAGTCTAGCACCTATGGGGTATCAGTCAGAGGAGAAAACAATGTGGAGAAAAGGCCCATCTTCCTTATCACAACCACCAGTAACAATTGACCAAATGCCTCCAATAGGCAGATGGGTTCTGGAGCCCTGGTAGTGGAAGCACCCATCAAATCCCTAGTCCTTCCAGTCATCATCTAGAGAGATATCACTCATGTAGAAAGGGACAGCCATCTTCACCAAGTCCCACCACAGGGCAGGCAAGACAGAATAGTTAAAGCATCAGAGAACCCTGAGGGATAGAAAGGAGGCATCAATTGCCAAGCAACTCAAATCACCATAAACACCTTGACCACCATTTCCCTTTAATCTCTGATAGAAATACTCTGATGGAAGCATTCAACTAAAAGTCTCAGGAATAATGATGTTTCTTGAGTATTGTCCACAAAAATCCTACAGATGCTACAGTTACAACTACTGAAGATCCATAAAAGAAAATTCTTGTCATTAAAGTCTTTGGCATTGTCAAATGGTTCAACATAAGAAACTTATGATTTTATCATAAAAATAACATTAAGGAAAAGGCATTACTTCTTTGCTGCTAAATCATAAGAATCACAAAACTTTTCTATGTGACTTGCAGCTAAAACTTTCTGTATATGTTGCTTCCCCGTCAGAAGATGATCTCCTTAAGACCAAAAATTGTCTTACTTCTTTTTTTGAGTCCTCAGCAACTTGCTCATAGCAAGTGCTTAATAAATCCATCATTCATTTGTTCATTTCTTTCTTCAGGTGATACTTTTTAATTGTGGTTGGAGGAGGGATGTCTAGTCATGATTTAACCAGATATGAGCAACTCATACTGTGCAAAATCCCACCAGTGAGAATTTCTGTAACTTAGAGTCACAAACAGTAGTGTTGTAACACTGACAGTTTTTGTGACTTATATAACTACCTACAGTTCATATCTATAAAAGAAATTATGTCTTCCTTAATCTAAGATTCCCCTCCCCTCTACTATATAATACTGGAGCTGGCACAATTAAGGGAATAAATCAGAATATGTCTCTTGAGTCACTTGATTTGGTGCTAAACATTATAATCATAAATACACAATTTAAAGGGACTTAAGAGGAAATAAAGGAAAAATGTGTTAAGTCACTATGAAGAAGTGGCAGGTTAATGATAACAGATTTCCCAAAAGAAATAAAATGCTCACCTACCAATTACACTTGTTTCTCATCGCTGGATTAATCACTTATCATGTTTCATAACAAACACATTTTCCTGTTTTGAGAAAGTCTCAGAGTGAACCTGTAGAACAGTGAAGTCTCTCCAAGTGACCTAGAAAAAGAAGACATAATCAACACAGAGAAAATGAAAAAGCTCAGAGGATGTAGTCATGCTAAATTTTTTTTTTAGATTACAGATGAAAAGATGTTCCAGAAAGGGGCTAATAATAATGGCAAGGAAGACATGAAGTTACTAGCAGATATGATGAGGATATCTATTTTTTCTTGAGACAATGTGCATCAATATTATTTGCTTTTAAAATAGTGCTCTTAAAATCTGTAATAAAAGCAACTTAAAAAAAAAAAACACCAGGGATAAAAAGTTATGCAAAAGAGTTCAGTAGAGGAATATGAATATAGCTTTTTCATAATAGAATAAAAGAAAAGTTTCCTTATAAATGTGCTTTTCTGACATTAACTGAGGGTTGGATATATTTGAAAAGGGGCTGAATTGAATTAGAGTTAGATTTGTATGTGAGAGGGAAGGGAGGCAGGGAAAGAGGGGGCAGGAAGGGAGGAGGAAAGAAAAGAGAGAAAGAAAAAAGCAGAGAGGAAAAAATGAAGAAAGGAAGAAAGGAAAGAAGGAAGGAAAAGACACAAGGAGGAAGAAAGAGGAATAACTTTTCTCTGTAATGCAGCACTGATTATTGCCTTAATTGGGTAAATAATTTTCAACCCAGTATTCAACCTAGGATGCTTTTGACACCAGTGTCAATTTTCAAAGTTTGCTTTCAAGTCTTAATTAGATTTCTATCTTTTTTCATCCCATTGCCACAAGGACAATTGAAATATCCCTGTGGTCAAACATACTTGTTAGACATGACCTAATTAAATGGCAGTGTTTGATTGTCATAGTCTTGTATCTATTAGATGCTTCATATCAAGGAGAGAGGAAAGTGTATAATCAGCTGTGATTCTCCTATTGAGGTTGAACGTGGCAAGTGTTTCTGCAAATTTACAAAATTCCCTTCAATAAAGGCAACTGTGACCCTCACCAAATAAATCACTAATGGCATAATTTGCACTGACAAATCTGGCTAGGCTAGATTTCAAGTTATAATTTGTCTCTGCTCTTCTATCAGAATCCTTTCCAGCGAAGCCATAACATGCCTCTCTGGTATCTGGGGCATACACCACAAACATTCCCAAGAAATATAGTAAGACAAGTATCTCAGCATCAATTTTTAAAAGTAAATTCAGTTCATTGCATAGGAGGCACAGCCAAGATGGCAGAATACAGGCAGAGAGTGGCCTGAGCTCTCCCTCAAATCCTACCACATACCTTCAAATAATGACCCTGAACAAATTCTAGAGTGACAGAATGAAGAAAAATAGGGAATAAAACAATTTCCCATTCCAAGACAACTTAGAAGGTCAGCAGGAAAAGTCTGTTGCGCCAGTTTGAGAGAGGAGCACAGTCCACTGCACTGTATCAGGCTCCAGCAAACCAACAGCAGGGCTACAAGCGATTGAAACAGTGACAACAGTGGAAGTTTTCATATCTTTTAGCCCACAAAGGGTAAGGGGATCAGACAGTGTGTCAGAAGGAGATTTACAGGGATCCTTTTGCTGGCACCAGGATCAGAGCTCTGTTCCATTGCCTATACTAGTTTCTGGGTCACGGTCTTTGGTCTTAGTCCCAGTATGAAAATGAGCAGTAGCTTAGCACAGTTTGTAGATGTAAGGGAATAGGGATGCTGGTTACAGTTTCAGGGTCAAAAAGAGTGCTTGTGGTCTCTCACAAACCAGTGCACAGCACAGCACAATAGTAAATGTACCTCCCCCTGGATCATACCACCTCGGAAGAGCCAAAAACTTACTTCTGAAAACAGCTGCAGAAAAATCCTGAAGCAATGGACAGTGCCCCCTCCATTTAGGAGGAAGAGCCCCACTTTAGCATAGAATTAAAAGGCAAGGAATAGGCTACAGAATGAGCAAACAATAGAAGAAAATTCTGACCACAGAAAGTTACTATGGTGAAAAGGAAGATCAAAACACAGACTTAGAAGAAGATGACAAAAGCAAAATTTTTGAATCCAAAGCCTCAAAGAAAAAACATGAATTGGTCTTAGGCTATGAAAGAGCTTAAAAAGGATTATAAAAATCAAATAGAAGAAGTAGAGGGAAAATTTGGAAGAGAAATGAGAGTGATGCAAGAAAATTAAGACAAAAAGAGTTAACACCTTGCTAAAGGAGGCACAAAAAAAAAATACTGAAGAAAATAACACCTTAAAAAAAAGAATAGGGCAAATGGCAATAATCAGAAAAGAGGCACAAAAAGCCAATGAAGAGATGAATGCCTTGAAAAGCAGAATTAGCCAAATAGAAAAAGAGGTACAAAAGCTCATTGAAGGAAATAATTTCTTAAAAGTTATAATTGAGCAAATAGAAGCTAATGATTTTATGAGACATCAAGAAACAATCAAAGAAAATCAAAAGAATAAAAAAAATAGAATAAAATGTGAAATATCTCATTAGAAAGACAACTGACCTGGAAAATAGATCATTTAATAATTATTGGACTACCTGAAAGGCATGATCCCAAGGGAAAAAAAAGAGTCTAGACAGCATCTTTCAAGAAATTATCAAGGAAAACTGCCCTGATATTTTAGAACTGCAGGGTAAAATAGAAATTGAAAGAATTCACCTATTACCTCCTGAAGGAGATCCCAAAATAATAATTCCCAGGAATTTTTATAACCAGATTTATAGCCAAATGCCAGATCTCCCAGATCAAGGAGAAAATACTGGAAGCAGCCAAAAAGAAAACATTCAAATATCATGATGTCACAGTCAGGATAATACAAGATTTAGCACCTTCTACATCAAAAGATCAGAATACTTGGAATATAATATTCTGGAGGGCAAAAGAGCTAGGATTACAATCAAGAATCACATTCCCAGAAAAACTGAGAATAATCTTTCAAGGGAAAAAATGGATAATCAATGAAACAGAGAACTTTCAAGCATTCCTGATGAAAAGACTAGAGCTGAATAGAAAATTTGACTTTCAGATACAAGATGCAAAAGAAGCCTAAACAAGTAAACAAGAAAGAGATATCATATAGTATTCAATAAAATTAAACTTTGTATTCCTATATAGGAAAATGATATTTATAACTCCTAGAAACTTTTTCATTATTAGGGAAGTTAGAAGGAATATATACATATATATTTGTGTGTGTGTGTGTGTGTGTGTGTGTGTGTGTGTGTGTGTATACATACAGAAAGCAGAGGTATGAATTAAATGTAATTGTATGATTAGCTAAAAAAAATACAATTAAGGGATGTCAACAAGAACAGACTGGGAGGAGGGGAAAGTGAGAGATAGAATGGGATAAATTATCTGACATAAAAGAAGCCTGAAAGAGATTTTACAGTGGAGAAGAAAATTGGGAAAGTGGGGTGGGGAGCACATGAATATTACTCTCATCAGAATTGGCTGAAAGACATCAGAGTAAGCAGTAAATCATTGTAACTCTCCTATATTCACCTACAAATAACCATAAAATAGTACCTCAGGGCAAGTCCTGGAACAACAGAACCAGTAAAAAGACAGAGTGAAACAATCTTTTAGCCCAAAAGACTTGAAAGATCAGCATGAAGGGTCCATCTCACTTGGATGGGAGGGGAGCACATTCCAGGACAGCAGGCACCCCAGAACCAGCATCAATCCGCTGCAGCAAACTAATGGGAGATACTGAGCCCCAGTTTGGTGGAGCAGGCAAACTCCAATACCAGGACCCACCATATGCTTTAGCATAGCCAGAGGACATGGCAGACTTATGGTCCAAAAATTTATCATGTGCATTAGCATTGGTCAAGACAAGGTCCTCCAGTGACCACACATCTCAGTGTTTCAAGGTAGCCCTGGGGAAATGCAGAAGTACCATACCAGGCCTTAGCACAGGTCAGATACCACCATTAAGAAAACAGTTCAGCTGCCAGACCCTACATCCTACATCAGTGCCAGCCACCACCTACCCAATCCCCTCAGCACAACACCAGACATGAGGGTCTCCTGTGGGCCTTATGGCAACATCAGGGCAGCACCAGGTAATCTGCCAGGACTAGCAGCTGCAAGCAAAAGAAGCCTGAAACAGTGTCCTTTACACCCCAAGTGCAAAACTCAAATTAAAAAAAAAATGGTGGGCAGCTAGGTGGCTCAGTGGATAGAGCACTGGCCCTGAAGTCAGGAGGAACTGAGTTCAAATCTGGCCTCAGACCAACCACTTGACACTTACTAGCTGTGTGACCCCCGGCAAGTCACTTAACCCCAATAGCCTTTAAAAAAAAAAAAAAGTAAAAGTAAGAGAAAAAAAGAAAAAGAAAAAAAATGGCCACAAAAAAATGAGCAAAAAAAAAAAATCTGACCATAGATAATTATTATGATGACAGCGAAGACCAAGACACAAATGAAAAAAAAAAATAAAGGACAGCAATGTCAGAACTCCTACAAGCAAAACCCCAAAGAAAAAAGAGGAAGTGGTCTCAAGCCTAGAAAGAACTCATGGAAGAACTCGAAAAGTAACTTAAAAACGTGTAAGAGATATAAGAAAAATTGGGAAAAGAAATGTGAGTGATTCAAACTAATTTTGAAAACAAAACAAAACAAAACAAAACAAAAAAGGGGCAGCTAGGTGGCACAGCAGATAGAGCACCGGCCCTGAAGTCAGGAAGACCTGAGTTCAAATCCGGCCTCAGATCAAACACTTGACATTTCCTAGCTGTGTGACCCTGAGCAAGTCACTTAACCCCAATTGCCTAAAAGCAAAAAAACCAAACCCAAAACAAAACAAAACAAACTAATTTTGAAAAAAAGTCAACAGAGTGTCAGCTAGGTGGTACAGTGGATAGAGCTCCAGCCTGGAAGTCAGGAGGACCTGAGTTCAAATCTGGCCTCAGACACTTGACGCTTACTAGCTGTGGACCCTGGGCAAGTCACTTGACCCTGATTGTCTCACCAAAAGGAAAAAAAAAGAAAGAGTTAACAGCTTGGAAAATTGCTTTAAAAGTAGAATTGTCCAAATAGAAAAGTAGATACAAAAATTCGCTGAAGAAAGCAACTCCTTCAAGAGTACAATTGGCCAAATGGAAAAAAAAATTTAAAAAGTACAAAAGCTAAGTGAGGAAGACAACACCTTAAAAGCTAGAATTGGCCAAGTGAAAGCTACAGAATCAATTAAACAAATTCAAAAGAATGAAAAAATGGAAGAAAATGTAAAATACCTCATGGGAAAAACAGCTGACCTGGAAAATAGATCCAGGAGATACAATATAATAATCATTGGACAACTTGAAAGTCATAATCAAAAGGAGAACCTGAACAGCATCTTTCAAAGAAATTGTCAAGGAAAATAGCACTGATATCCTGAAAACAGAGGACCAAATAGTCAATGAAAGAAGGCACTGTTCACCTCTGGAAAGAAATCCCATCCAAAAAAATATCCAAGGAACATTATAGCCAAATTTCAAAACTATCAGGTCAAGGAGGGAAGAAAAAAAAAAAAACAAAACAACTGCAAGTGTCTAGAAAGGAAAAAAAAATATTGGGTAGTAACAATTAGAATTACACAGGACTTGGCAGGAACAACATTAAAGAATCAAAGGTCATGGAATATGGTATTCTGGATGGCAAAGGAGCTAGGAATACAATCAAAAATCACTTACCTGGCAAAATTAAGCATAATAATCAAGGGAAAAATGGTCATTCAATGAAATAGAAGGATTTCAAGTTTTCATAAGGAGAAGATCAGAAGTAAGCCAAAAATTTTGAAACGAAAATATAACGAATTCATTGGAGCTAAACTATTTCCATCTCTACATGGGAACTTGACACTTTTAATTCTTAAAAACTGTATTGCTAATAGTATGGTTAGAAAGGAAATACATAGATAGAGTGTACGAGTATGAGGTGAATTTAAGAGAATGACATTAAAACAATTAAGGGATGAGAAAGAGGAGGACATGGATTGCAGAAGGGAGAGGTAGAATGGAGTACACTATTTCGCATGAAGAGCCACAAAAGACCTATTACAGTGGAAGGGAAGATGGGAGACTGGGCGATGAGCATCACTTGGTCCTTACTCGCATCAGTGTTGGCTGAAAGAGGGAATCATATATCCAATCAGTTGAATATAGAAATATATGTTACCCAATAGTGAAGTAGGAGGAAAGGATATCAAGTAAAAGGATATCAAGACAGAAGGGAGGGCAGATCAGGAGACATGGTAGGTAGAAACAAAATGCTGGTGAGGAGGGAAAGGGTGAAAGGAGACAGAGGACAAACAGGAGGAAAAATGAGATGGAGGAAAATATACAGGTGGTAATGATAACTGTGAATGTGAATGGGATGGACTCTTCCATAAAATGGAAGTGGATAGCCGAGTGGATCAAAAAACAGAATCTTACAATATATTGTTTACAAGAAACACACTTGAAGCAGAGAGAACCAAAGGTAAGGGGCTGGAACAGAATCTATTGTATTTCACCTGAAGTAAAAAAGCAGAGGTAGCTATTCTAATCTTAAACAAAGTAAAAGCAAAAATAGACCTCATTAAAAGAGATAAGGAAGGAAACTATATCTTGCTAAAAAGTACCATAGAAGATGAAGCAATATCAATACTAAACATATGTGCCCTAAGTGGTATAGCATCCAAATTCTTAAAGTATAAGTTAAGTGTGTTACAGGAAGAAATAGTCAGCAAACCTATACTAGTAGGGGACCTCAGTTGCCCTCTCTGAGAACTCAAGTAATCCGACCAAAAAATAAACAAGAAAGAAACAAAGGAGGTAAATGGAATATTAGAGAAATTGGATATGACAGACCTTTGGCAGGATTTAGACATAAAGGGT